GCTCTTCCTCGTTTCTGCGAACTGCATTGCTTCTGCTGTTGGTCTTTAATGCTGGATCTAACAGATGAGCTGAAGGGCACTCAAGTTGTTAACATGCTAACTTTGACCAATCCAGTTGAATTTTTGTATTGCATCCCTTACGATGTTTGAGGCTGGTTGCTAGTCAGAGTCCATGTCAACTCTTAGGTGCAGTCAGGACCCACTGGCCACGACTGTGAGTTTTGCATATATTTAAAATATACAGTAAAGAGGAGATAGGGTGCAAGGGTAAGAAATTATAGATTATTGCTGCCATATTTTTAATCACTTCAAAATGCCCGTTTTCTGCCTGAGATAGAAACCACTGCAAGATAAAGAGCAGCATGCAGAATTAGCATGATCCTGTGTTGAGCAAATCTGCTGAGCAGTTGTGGATTTTTGTGCCCTAGGTAAAACATGCTGTACAAGAGAAGGATACTAGGTAAAACTGAGACAGAAGTACAAAGTCGGTGTAACTTCAGTACTTTCATATTTCAGTTGCATAACTTTCCATGATGCAACACACCTCACAGTTATTTCTTCATGTTGTGGATGATCCAGGCACAATTCTCATGAATTTCTGCAAAGACATGTAATATCTTTTCAGCAGCAAGTGCCACATTTCAGTTTGATTCAAGTGCCATGATTTTCTTACCTCACCTTTACTGTGTAATAGAAACACTCCTTACCTTTGTTGTGTAGGAACAACCATAAGCACCTCAAAAAAATGTGTACATTGTGGTCTTAAAATGTTTTGAGTTGTACAAAGCCACTTGCCAGTCCGAACAAAACCAGACAGACCCCCAACCACAATCAAAACCCATATTACTACTTCAAAGATAAATATATAGGTTTGCTTTGTAATACCAGGCTATGTTCTTAAACCAAATGCATTGCCAGCTGTGTGCTTTGTAGATAGAGCAGACCCATGTACACATCTCCCCTGCTTACTACTAAGCTCTGGCTAAAGCCAAGGTGAACAAAGGTAGAATGTCAACTAGCAGATGAAATTTTCTCTTGCTTTTGTTCTTGCTGTTTCAAACTAGACCTCTGACTTGTCTGTACCTGCATCCTGCATCATCAGAAGTCCTTCAGAAGAAAGTGTCAAGAAGCACAGCAGCAGAAAATGAAATATAAATATGCCTAAAAAGAGAACTTGGCCAGTCTGTGAAAAGTCAGTGTTTGTCCTATTCCCCAGAAGGAAGATGCTTTGTATACTGTTCTGCTATCTTTTGTGATTATGGATGCGTTTCATTATCCACAATGGTAGTAGAAGCGCAGAGGAAAAATTCAGAAGCTGAGCAGTTCAGATCTCTTCTCTTTCGTGCTTCTGGTCAAGATGTAGCTCTTGTATTTCAGGATAAGGCTTGGCAGTTTTCCTCGCTACAAGAAGAAGTTTTCTGGCCTAATGATTTGCGACTAACAGTGAAGAACAACAAGAAATCCTTACCACTTTTACCATTACAATCCAGTTTCACAAATCAGTTGATGCATAATCCCTCGTTATGTGTCACAGCAGATTAACATGTGGATTCAATACCTATATCCTCATAGACAAACTCAAGAAATGTGAGATAGATCATTGGACTGTGAGGGGAATTGTGAGCTGACTCAACAACAGAGTTCAGAGGGTTGTGATCAGCAGCACAGAGTCAAGCTGGAGGCCTGTCGCCAGTGGTGTTCCCCAGGGATCAGTGCTGGGTCCAGTTATGTTCAATATCTTCATCAGCGACCTGGACGAGGGGATAGAGTGCACCCTCAGCAAGTTTGCTGATGATACAAAACTGGGAGGGGTGCCTGATAGACCAGCAGGCTGTGCTGCCATCCAAGGAGATCTGGACAAGCTAGAGAGCTGGACGAAGGCGAACCTCATGAAGGTCAATACAGACAAGTGTAGAGTCCTGCATCTGGGGAGTAGTAACACCAGGCACTAGTACCGATTAGGGGTCATCCTGCTGGAAAGCAGCCGCGTGGAGAAAGACCTTGGAGTCCTAGTGGACAGTGAGTTGTCCATGGGACAGCAATGTGCCCTTCTGGCCAAGAGGGCCAATATGGAGTGCATTAAGAAAAGTGTGTCCAGGAGGTCTAGGGAGGTTCTCCCCCTGTGCTCTGCCTTGGTGAGACCACACCTGGAATACTGTGTCTAGTTTTGGGATCCCCAATACAAGAGAGA